AGAATTATAAAATTTTGGTGGTATTACTATCTCATCAGTAATAATATTGGCCTAATACAAAAAATTACTTAATATAAATTAAAATTAATAATTCAATATTTTTATAAGAATATTAATATTACCAATTCGTTTTGTATTTTTTGAATCATTTCTTTAGCTTTCTCCACGTTTTCTTTTTTGCCCGTGATAGTTATAACATCGCTTTTTTCGCCTTCAGCAGGTAAATCAATTTTAGTTTGTGTTTCTTCTCTAATCTAAAAATTAAAAAATTAAGATAATATATATGTTATATTTGTAATTTATTTTAAAAATATATAAAAATAAAATATTTGGATACCAACTTTACGAATATTAACTCCACCTTTTCCAATGACAAACTTATGAAATTGCTTAAAAATAGGTACCTCTAAGACATAATTATTTTCATTCAGTTCTTTTACTAATTTCATTAAATACTTATGGCACTTGTCTACATCTTCTTTGGGTCCTCTAATTTTTACAATATCTCCTTTTTCACCTGTAAATAAAAAATTTTTAATTAAAAATATTTTTAATTTAAATAAAAAAATAACTTTTTAAATTTTTCGTATATTTTTTTTATTTAATAACTATGACATTGTTTTTAAAAAGTTTAAAAAATTGTTTTAAAAAGTTATAATTTTCTTAGTTTTATACAAAATATAATCATTTTAAAAAATAGGATATTTTGTATTACAACTTTTCATAATTTTTAAATTTCAAATTCGGAATGTGAATAAATTTAATAAAAAAAATATTTTTTTATAGAAAATTTAAATATATTTTATAGAACATATTTTTTATATAACATAGAAAATTTTATATAAATAGAAAATTATAAACTATCAAATTAAATTATAAACTTCTAAATATGAATAAATTCTCTCTTTGGTTAATTGCCAATAAGAATCGAGGTCTTTCAAATGTTTGTACCTGGCATAAATCCGAGTTCTAGTTATTGCATATATTATGCTACATACCTGGACCAGGAATAGTAATCTGTACTTGATTAAACTTATCTCTAATTTCTTTGATATTATCTCCTTTATTTCCAATAATACTAGGATAATAACGATGATCTATTATTACATCTTTCTCTTTTTCATTTTCCAGTTTTTTTACCATTTCTACTAATTCCTATAATGAATTGAAGTATTATATTATAAAATATTATAAAAAAGTTTTGATTATGTAATATTTATAATATATAAAATAAATATTACAAACCGTTTGAGCTTTGAGTACACCAGCAAGATTTCCTTCAATACGAATCACATTACTTCCATCATTTTCAGAAATATTAATTACAACACCTGTCCCTTCTTTTACACGATTTACTAATATAAAATTAAATTTAATAAAAAATTATTAAAAATAATATAGCAATATAAATTTTAATATAATTAAATTATTTCAAAAAAATTTACCATTACATCCATTTTTTCCAATAATATGTTTATAAAATCTAGGATCGACATTTAATTCTGTAAAAGTAAGCTTAGATATAAGATCAGTAGCCATTAATTGAAGCTCATTTTGTGCTTTTTCCACTTCTTCAGGAGGACCTTCGATTTTAATTTTATCTTCTTTTCCAGTAAATTCTACATTCACTTTTGGCATTTCTTGTGTAATACGTTTAATATTAACACCTTTTCTACCAATTATGTATTTATGAATCCAAACAGGTGCTTTCACCACAGCTGTACGAACACTATTTGCTTTTTCATATACTTTATTTAATGCTATAATATTGAATCAAAAAAACGTTTATGCAAACATTTAATTAATGTTCTAATATAAAAATCTCTTAAAAAATACTAAAACGAATACCTTGACCAAGTTTTTCTTGAGGTCCACGAAGAGTAATAGTTCCTGTTGGGGAATCTGATGCAGGCATTTCTACACTGACACCAGTTACTTGTAAGATTTCTGCTATTGTACTACCTCGTGGACCAATAACATATTTGTGTTGAGATTTTGGAACTTCAACTGACACTGTTGTACATCTCTTTTCCTAAATGAGAAATATAATTAATTAATTATAATTTTAATTTTAAGAAGATATAAAAAATAATTTCTATTTAGTAATTTTATAATAATATTTATTATCTATACCATATCTTTATAAATGGCTTCGATTTTTTGTTTTGCTGCTGCAACACCTTCTTTTTCACCAGCAATAGTAATTTCATCTTCTTGTGAATGAGCAGGAGGAATATTAATTCGAGCACCAGTTTCTGCCATCATGGCATTGAGATTCTCATTGTATGCACCATGTATAAATGGATGATAAATTTTTGGCACAGATATTCTTTCAAATGCTTTTCTTGACTAATAAAAAATCTTTGTATATTACTTATATCTTTATATATATATAATATAATTTATATTTAATATTTATATTAAATATTTTTTTTTTTTTTGATATTTTTACTCACTTGTTCATCTGAAATTACTTTAATTTCATGTTCAGCCTTTTCTATTCCTTCTTTAGTTCCTGTAATTGTTATTATATCTGATTGATCTTGCACAGATGGAACATTTATTTTTGTTGCAGTTGTTTTTTCTAGATCTTTTAAACGCTGTCCCTGTTTTCCAAGAATCCAACGATGATGGTCCTTAGGAATACTAATTTGTTTACTTGCCTATAATCAATTGAAAATTCAAAATTTATATTATTTTAATTTTATTATAATATTAATTTTATAATATCAAACCTGGGTCTGAAATGTTGTTAAAATTCTACGTTTTGCTTCAAGCACTTGATTTTGTTTACCAGTTATTAGGAATGTTAAAGATTGATCTTTTGATGTCGCTATTTCAATAATAGTATTTGTTTCTTTCATTATTGTTTTACATGTACGTATAGATTCTCGTTCTCCAAATTTGTCACTATGATCAAATTTTCGTTCCTCACCAGGTACACGAAACATCTAAGTAACAAAATAATAGATGATAAATAATAAAATACAGAATTAGAATAATTAAAAAATTATATAAATATTATAATTAAATTTATACCTGAGTAATAGTTATACGTCCAAGTTGTAAATTGTTATTTATAGAGAAAATATTTAATTTCCCTGAACTTGAACTGGTTGACTCAGGAAGAACTGGGAATGTCTCATCATAAGTAGGTGGCTCATAGGCCGTTCCCTCTTCCATTACTGACTGCTGCTGCATGATGGGGTTGTCCTGTTTCGTGCCAAGTCCTTACAGTAGCACTATAATGAACAATTATATAACATTCATCATAATTTTAAGATTGAATGAAATATAAAAAATAATCTATTAAATAAAATTTTAAAATCTTAAGATTTAATATATTAATATAATTTATAATTCATTTATAATATAATTTATAAGAAAATATATTATACAATTTAGTTTATTGCTATATTTATTTATAATATTTATTCAAAATTATATTTACATAGTAATTCAAATGAAATTATTTTATTGATTAATCATTTAATAACACTATAAAAATTATAAAATATAAATAAAAAAATAAAAAAAAAATGAAAAAGATATGATATTTTTACAGAAATTTAAATGATTGCTGTTTTTGTTTGAACAATCTATATTAAAAATTTATATCTTTATAAAAAAAATTCTGTTTAATATCTTCTTTTAATATAAATATTCAATTATATAATAAATTGATTTTTAAGACATATAATATGAATCATCAAATAGCAATAAAAATTTATAATGATTATTATGTTAAATGAGAAATAGCAAAATAGCAGATTCAAGTTATATGCCAGCATGTCAATGACCACAGAGTAGTTGAACTAGTGACCACCATATGGAATGAAGTATTCACTTGACACGTCACAAGATCGCTAACCTTTTTGAAATGAATGTATGCACGTTGCATAGATCGAAAATAGTACTTGCGTATTTCTATCTCGAAATAAGAAACAGGTAATATAAAGGTGATACCGTTATATTCAAAAAGAAAAAGACAAAATGAAAAAAAAGATTCATATGGGTAGTCTCGACATAACACGAAATAATACTTACTCTACCGTAATAAAGAAATCCGGCCAAGTAATAAACGTATATTACGAAGCCAGTTTAATAGTGATTTGCCTAAAACATTAAAAAATTCATAAATATTAGACACTGATGAACACTTAATCTAATTTAATTATTATCGAGCAAATAATTATCCACTATTCTCACTAACGTACGTCTTTCCTTACCGGTAACGCAAAGTGAAATGAGATAAATATTAGCTGGGTTGCAGAAAGTTACTATAATAGTATAGAGATGTCGAACAGTATTTTCTCATTGCAAACCTTAAGATATAAAAATCACTAGAAAATTGTATTTACAAAAAATATTTACTATAATATTTTTATGATAAAAGTATATTTGAAATAAAACAATTTATTTATTAGAAACTTCATAAAAAATATACATGCAATATAATTATTATAATTTAATTATGATGAAATTAAAATATATATCGATATTTAATTATCTATTTGATACAATAGGAAAACGTATTAATATGCATTAATAAAAAAATAATTGATATTGATTAATGTTGTTATTACTTATTTAATTACATTTTATGAGGAAATATGAATATTCATTTTTTTTATTTTTATTATTTTATTATTTTTATTATTACTTTATACATATTTTCATATATAATATTTTATTTTCAAATAAAAAAAAATAAATATATAACATAGAATTAAGTAATTTTTTTTATTTAATACTTATTCTTAAACTTGCAAATTAAATAATTTCAAAATTTGTTATCTATCTATTTTTTTGTATTTAATTATAATTTATAATGTCACGAAAAATTAAAATACAAATAACTAATAGATAATAAATAAATTCGAAATGTAATCAATATAGAAATATATTGAAAAATAATTAAATGAATTGTTTAATTTTACTTAAAATGTACATTATTATAATTGATTACATTTTTATTTAAAATGTATTATTATATAACAAGATACGATAAAGATTTAACGATAGGTCATTTTTCAAATACACTATATATTTAAATATTCAACTTCAATAAAGAAAAAAAAAATATGCCTGAAAATATCAATCATTCGGGACCATTCATAGGGGCAATTGATGAAGGAACGAGTAGCGCTAGATTCTTAGTAAGTAAATTTTATTTGTGTTTAAGTTCAAACAATAAAAATAACTGACAACTATCTAGTCAAGTTATCTGAATGAAACTTGACCTTTGTCATAATCATTATTTGAATGTGATGTTTATTTTATGATATGTTAGAAAAATATTTTGAAATAAATATTATTTTATAGTTTATAAAAAAATGTTTTACAGAATTTTTTTTTAATTAATTTATAAATTTTCAATATTAAAGTTATTTGATTTTATTAGTTTTTTATTCATGATTCATTCATAACAAAATTTTAAATAAATTTATTTTACAATAAATATTAGGATTTTTATATAAAAATAAGAAAAAAATATATAATATAAAATATAATACAATATAGTACAATATAATAACCTTTTTTAGGTGTTTGATGTATTACATAGAAAGGTATTAGCATCACATCAAATTGAAATTAAACAAAAATATCCACAAGAAGGATGGGTGGAACAAGATCCAAAAGAAATTTTGGAAGCTGTTATAGAATGCATAAAAAAAACAATAGAAAAGCTAAAAGATATTAATATAAATGTATCAGATATCAAAGCAATTGGAATCACTAATCAACGAGAAACTACTTTAATGTGGGATAAAAATACAGGAGAACCATTACACAATGCAATAGGTAAAATGCAATATATAATTTATTGTTAAGATACATTATTTGTAATGTATTTGCATATGTATAATATATAAATATAATTATTAAAATAAAATTAATAATTTTTTATAGTATGGTTAGATATGAGAACTACTACAACTTTGGAAGACATATTAGATAGTGTACCTAATAAAACAAGAAACAAAAATTATTTGAAACCTCTTTGTGGACTTCCAATGTCACCATATTTTAGTGCTCTCAAAATACGTTGGTTAATTGATAACATACCACGTGTTAAACATGCAATAGATGAAGAGAGATGTGCTTTTGGAACTATTGATACATGGCTTATTTGGGTATGTTTTCATTTATTGATTTTTATTTTATACAAAATATTTGCTACAAAATATTACAATTATAATTATTTCATTGACTAATCAAATAAATTATACTTTTTATATAGAATCTTACCAAAGGACAATTACATGTAACTGATGTTTCAAATGCATCTCGTACTATGTTAATGAATATTGAATCATTAAAATGGGATCCTCTGTTATGTCGATTTTTTGGAATTCCACAGCATATTCTACCTGAAATAAGATCTAGTGCTGAAGTATATACAACAATTTCAAATCCAGAAGTTCTTGCTGGTGTACCTATAGCAGGAGTATATTATTAAAATAATATATTTAAATATTAATGTTGTTCAACATTTTATCAATTTTGATTATTAATATATTTCATATTTATATATAAGTGTGTAGGTGATCAACAGGGAGCACTTCTTGGTCAATTGTGCTTAAAACCTGGACAAGCAAAAGCTACTTATGGAACTGGTTGTTTCTTACTTTACAATACTGGAAGTATTGTATGTATTCATTTCAATTAATTATATTATTATATGTTCTATTAAAACTTAATTCATTTATTTAATTAAGTATTTAATCATTTTAGAAAGTAGATTCAACACAAGGTCTTATAACAACTATTGCATATAAAATAGGTAAAAACTCAGCAACTTATGCATTGGAAGGCTCAGTGGCTGTAGCTGGTGCAGCTTTATCATGGTTACGTGATAATATACAACTATTTAATAGTATAACACAATCTCAAGACATGGCAGAACATGTAAGATCTTCAGGAGATGTATATTTTGTACCTGCATTCTCAGGTTTATATGCACCATATTGGCAACAAGATGCACGAGGGTAACTAGATTGCAGTAATAATTATTTAAAAGATCATTATTTTTGATATCAAAGTACAAATTGCATGTATTTTAGAGTAATTTGTGGTATTACTGAAGATACACAACAGTATCATATCATTCGCGCAGCATTAGAAGCTGTTTGCTTTCAGACAAGAGATATTTTAGAAGCCATGGTTAAAGATTCTGGAACAAAATTAACAACTTTACAAGTTGATGGTGGAATGACAGTAAACAATTTACTTATGCAATTACAAGCTGATCTCACAGGAATAAATGTTGGTGTGTATAAAATTTTATGAATTAATATTGCATATATATTTACATATATACTATATTATATTATATTCTAATATCATTTTTTTTTAATAGTACGACCCAATATGGTAGAAACAACAGCATTGGGAGCAGCTATATTAGCTGGTGTTGGAGTCGGTCTTATCGACATAAATGATGTAGATGCATCTCAAGTTACGAAATTTTCACCCTCTATTGAAGAAGATGGTAATTTTTTTTCACAAAAAGAAATTTAAAAGAAATTTTATATTTTTACAAAAATATTAAATTATATATATTTATATTTTAGAAAGAGATTTGAGATATTCTAAATGGAAAATGGCTGTTGAAAGATCCATGAAATGGGATTGTTCTACTACTTTAATGAATAATTAAAATTTTCAAAATATCCCTGTAAATAATAGGAATGATAATAAAGAATTAAATAAAAAAAGATTAAAACAAAAATAAAAATATATAAACAATGAACAATCTTGCTCAAATGAATGCATATATAAAGATTGAATATTGTGAATTTAATATAATAGGTAAAAAATAGGTATTTAAATAAACAATAAATAAGAATCTAAAATATACATTTTGTTAATAAATATGTTGGATATTATTATAGATATTTATTAAAGAAATTATTTTTTGTTAATAATTGTTATGGATTAATTATATTTTTAACAAAATATGTAATTTATAAAATTAATATTTTTATATAATTTATATAATTTACTAAAGTATATTAATAAACATAAGTAAAAAAACATAAATAGATTGAAAAAATACATTTTAAGCAATTACAAAAAAATTTATCTTTGAAATATATATATTATGAAACTATATATTTTTTAAATAATAACTTATAATAATTAAATAATTTTATGTAATAATAATATTTTATAAAATTTTATTTTTTAGAAATTTTTCCAGGTGTTCCGAATTGAGGTTTCTTTGGAATTCCATATTGTCGTAATCCATAATTGCGTGTTTTAAATATTTTTTTTTTCGGCAAGAAATTGTCTTTATCCTATTTATGCAAAATAACACTTTTCTTAATTTTTTAGTTAAATATAAAATATATAAAATAGAAAAGAAAAATTCCTTTTAAATAATACCTCATTTTTTTTCTCTTCCTTATCTCGAGAAAAAAAAGAATTATTTTCGATACAATTAAAATCCTAAAAATTTTATTATCTTTATATTATTATTATTATTATTATTATTATTTTATATTATAATTATTATTTTATATAAAATTAACTGTGAGTATGAGTGTGAATGTTAAACTTCACCTTCGTTGGAGAATTTAAATTGAATCGAACCTTTTTTTCTTGTACTGATAATATCTATAATTAACAGTTATATAATGCATATAATCATGTATATCCAAAAAAATTAAAGTGAATTATATACAATTGACATGAATTAACATGAATTATATATAAAAATAACATATTATATATATAACTTACATTTTGTAACTCATCATTAATTTCTCTGGTACTAAAGCTATATATATCTTGTTCAAGATTTGATATTTCGTTTTTATCTTTGATTATAATTTTTGAGTTATTTATATTTTCTTGATTTTGAAATTCTTTTACTTCACAAACTTGATTTGTTTGACTTTCTATTTTTTTAATTATTTCTATTGGAATAGATTCTATTAAAGGTTGCATTTTTTCTTTTAAATTATCTTGCAATTCATTATGATTTATTTTTGTATATTGATCATGGAAATTTATTTGTTTATTTTGATTTTCTTCATTATTTATTTTACTTAAACTTTCATTTAATTTTAAATATGCAGAATTTTGTGTAGTTAAAGTTTTTTTCATTTCTATTAGTTTAACATCGAATTCTTGTTTTAAGGATTTTATCTCTGTTTCGTATTTTTTTTTCGATAATTTATGAGTATTCTCAAATTCCTATTTATAATAAATGAATTTAACTCATTATTTATATTTGTATTTTTATTTATATTTATATTTGTAATTAATATTAATTTATAGTTATATTTTAAAATTGTACCTGTATTTTTAAATGTTTTTCTAAAAGTATTTGTGCTTTTTCTTTTTCTAAAAATTCGATTTTTCCGTATAATTCCATTATTTTGTGTTCATTATCCAAATTCACCATTTGTAAAGATTGTTCAAGATTTATATTGCGAACTTGCGCTTCTTTTAATTTATTTTCTATATTTAAAAAATCATTTTGCATATTTTTATATTTATTATCAATCATATTAAAATCTTTAGCTAAACTAGATTCTATTTCTTGTCTAGTATTTAAATTTTCTCGTAGTTTATCGATCTTAAAGAATAAAATTAATTTAATATATATATATATATATATATATATATATTATATATATTATATAATTATAATATATTATTGTATACTTCCTGTGTTTTCGTTTGTATTTCTTTTGATAATTTTTCTTCCTTATCTATGGATTTTTCATATTTTGCACTTAATTCAGTATTATAGTATAACAAATTCTCGATTTTATTTCTGCCATAAAATCAATGAATTAAGATGAAATACATGAATGATTTATTTATACATATAAAAATACTTACTGGCATGTAACAATCTCCCCTTGCAATTTTATTATTTCATCATCTTTTTCAGCAAACAAGATAGTTAAGTTTTGTTTCTCTTCCGTAATCTTCTGTAATTGCACTTGTAGTTCTTGATTCATCGACGTGAGACTTTCTTGCTTCTGAAATCGTAATTGTTTATAATATTTTAGATATTTATTATATCCATGATAACAACGTGTGACGATAATGTAGGTAATATATTTTTTATTTTCAAAGAGATTATACACGTCTTTTTACTTAAAATAGAAAAATTAAAGTAAAAAAAAAAAAATAAAGTCTAAAAATAATATATATTTCTTAAAATATATATTTTAGAAATATATATTTTTTACCTTTATTAATTCCAATTTTTCTTCTGTATAAACATTATGCAAATGATTTTTCTCTAAAACTGAATTATTTTTCAATTCTTCGAATTGTTTTTTCAATTCGTTCTCAATATTCATCATTTCATGTATTCTAATAAATGAAACATAAATTTTTCATTATATTTATTCTTCAATGAATAATTTATATGTTTAAGAAGAAATGTTTCATAAATACCTTCTCTCTTGATTTATTACTTTGTTTTCCATTGTACTAACAATATTTCTTTGCTCATCATCTATAAAAAAATTTAATTATAATTTAATTTTATTTTAATCAAAGTTATTTATTATAATTTAATTTTAATCAAAATTAGAAATACAAACAAAGTTTATAATAAAATTTATATAATATTAACCTTTCAATTTCATAATACATAATTCTTGTTGAAGTTTCTTCATTGTAGATTGTTGAATAACGATGATTTCATTATATAATTTTGATAGATTATCCTTATGTTGTTGAAATCCTTTTAAACTCTCTGATATTTCATAATAATATTTAGTAATTGATTCCCAATCGTTATTCAATCTAGAGAAGAAAATTAATACTGTCTTCACTATCAATTTTTAATTGCAATAAATATCTAAAGAATACATAGTAAATATGTATATTACTGTTGTAAAATCTCCTCTTTAGCTCGTAATTCGATCTCATGAGAGATAGAAAGTGAAGATATGGTTTCTTCAGCGATCTGAAGCTTCTTTTGCAACTTTTGAATTTTTCGTTCTTCAATTACATGCATTTGTTTCATTTCTTCCGTAATTAAATTTTCTCGTATCTATTTATTTATTATTTATTTAATAAAATTTTATTTAATACTTTTTGATAACAACTTTTTAATAAAATAAAAATTATATACTATTCCTGTTTCGGACAGTGGTGTTTGGATACCCATATGTTTAGACCATTGTCCTATTAAAGTATTAACAAATTTTCCACTTGGACAAATTTTCTGAATTTTTTCCAGACTTTCATTATGAAATGATTGAATTTTTCGTTTGTTACTTTCTGATTGTGATTTCGTATCTTTTTTAAGTGATTCTAAGATGAAATATTTTATATAAAATGATTTATTTTATTTCTTATATAGCATTATGAAATATTATACCATTTAAATATTATACCATTACTTTGAGGAGTTTTTGAATACTTATTCGGACTATTCTGAGGAGTATAATGAATTTTACGTTTAATTTCTTGTGACATTATATCTTTTTTGTCAAATTCTATAGAATAATTATGATTTTATTATTATTTATGAATCAAAATATAAATTAATAAAACTTACCACTAACTCGAGGTGTTCTTTGCAATTTTTCCGAATTATTATTCATATTATTTTTCATATTGTGGGATACAAATTCAAAACTATGATTATCTTCTTGTTGCATTTTTGCGTTTATTTTCTGCGTTTATAATCTAAACAAATCAGAGTAGACAAAAATTAATTAATAATATACTAAACTTTAAGCATTAACAATAAAATTCCTGCGATGACAATTATTATAATAATTATCTATAAAATTGCTTATTTATATCAAAGTAAATATTTTTTAAATTATTTATAAATAAAATAATCGTATAAAATTTGGTCAACTTTTATGGATATGAAACAATATGATATTAAAGAACCGTCTTTAAATATAAGTAAGCACAATTTTTTTTTTTTTTAATTATTTTCGAATTTTACTACGTAAATAAATATAACTTGTATTATATTAATAATACTACGTAAATAAAATATACTTGTATTATTTTGTACATTAATAAATACTATATGAAATATTAGCATTCATTATAATTGCAATATAGCGAAAACATAAAATTTGGTTATATTTTTGAAGAAAAAAGCTTTTAAAAATATTTTCTTTTAAATAACATTTTCTATAATAGTAAGTGAAATATTCTTACATATAACTATTTTTGTAACTGTCATAATTTTTTTTAATTATTTATCAAACGATTACATTATAGTTGATATATCGATAAAATATTTACGATATAAACAATGGCCGAACATATGGCGCGCTAAATTGATCACGCATCTTTATGATCCATATAATATCTCATTTATGAATTGCTCAAAAGAATCTTATTCCTTTTTATTCTTATAATCAATAGAATTCATTTTCAAGATTATTTAAACAAATAATAACAAATATTTTTCATAATATGATATAATAAATTATCAAAAAATATATATCATATTTAAGTATTTATTGAAACACATCGGCGCAGTAAATCAATGGCGCAGCTTCATAGCGCATGTGACAATTTGCGGAATCTGGAGTATCAGTAGGAAGGAGTCAGACATCCCTCCCTTCTCACGGGGATGCTCACAAAAGAGAGTTAAGCCAGTGTACGTATCGTGACAATCTAATATACAAGCGGAACAATAATAGGTGACATACCAGAAACACGTTTTATCGAACAAAAGAATTATAATATTAAAATGAAGGAGCATGAGGCAACAGGAACCTGCCAAAAGAAACCAACGAAATTGCGAAATCTCATTTACAAGACTGAAGCTTTTGATTCTTTGCACACTGGAAATGCAGAGGTAATGAAAGAAATTTTTGAAATTCTTTTTTTCTATTTATTTTTTTATTTTTTATTTTTAATTTTTTAATTTTTAATTTTTTAATTTTTTAATTTTTATTGCTTTATATATTTTATATATATATAGAAATTTTCATTTAAAAACTTTAATGTTTGATATTATATTATTGAATATTATTGAACAGCGTGGGAGTTCGAATAAAACTGCGAATATAGATAAATTTGTAATAGAATAAATCTACTATCGAAAAACAAGAATTCGTTTCGGTGACACACTAATTGTATAATGCATATATATAATATACATATTTTTTCAAATGATTGGAATAATTAAAATAATTTTGAAACAATTGAAGGAAGTGTATAGTTGGAATGAAAGAAACAATATTTTTATTTGTATCCAATTTATATTATAATCTTTTATTTAAGATTAAATATCTAAGATTAAAAGTTAAAATAATTTAAATATATGTCCATATTTTGATTAGCTTAGTAATAATGATGTTCTA